CAGCAAGAGCAACGATTACACACTGAGGAGATCCAGGAAGAATGAGGCAAGGTAGGAGACTTCCAAGTGGAGTGTGGTGTCATCCTCCTTGATTTACTCCAGGAACACATTGGAAAAGCCCTATGGTCCTCACCCTTAAGCACGCTTAGCTTCTAAAGTTACCACAAAGAGATGCCAGGTGGAAAACAGGGAAGCCCGTAGACTCAGGGGTAAAGGTTTTGCATTTGGAAAAAACAAAAAAAACAAGAACAGCAGGCATACCATACGACACACAAACCAGAGACGATGGCAGGAGAGTGTGCTGTACAGAAAGATGCGGCTGTCCATAAAGACATAGAACTGAAAATGGCCACAGCATTTACCTTGTGCTTTTTGGCAGTTTTGGCAGAGCCAGTGTTGATGTTACTCTTGGGAGTGACACCTACTTCTGGATCTGCAAAGAGCCCTAGAAGGGATGGAGCTTTATTCTGATTTGAGTAGACTGTTTGGAGCTCAAAAACAAAAACACCCTCCCCTCATTCTTCCAACAACTTAAACTATTTGCCCCAGTCAGATCTCAAATCACATGCAGAGGGTATCCCACATGCCCCAGGTGATCCCCGAGAAGAACTTGAAGAACCATCCCTTATAACTTGATGAAGACTCCTAAAAGCCCTGATTCAGATCTATTCATCGCTCATCGAACAACTATGGATGGCTGGGGCCCGACTAGATGGACATATGTTAGGCTGTGCCTTATGCCTCACAGATCCCAGCATGTGGAATGTGTACAGGGCATTTCTGCTGAAGCGCTATGTCTGCTTTTCTGCACACAGCTCCATTCCTTCTCCACAAGAGACACCTGTACCAACACATGGTAGGGGAAATGACAAAGATGAGATCATGAGAAACTTGAGGAATGTGGTAATGGCAGCAGACACATTCCCCTTGCATCACAATGGTCTGTGGTACTGCCTCTGCACCTTGGCCAAAGACCTAACAGCAACAAAAATATGAGTGTGTTTTACAAGTCAACTTCTAGTGCTCACATCATCTTACCAAGAGTTGCAGGTGGAGGGGTTCGGGGTGGCCCCAGGGCCACCAAGATTCAGGAGGTGGATGTGCCTAATAGTCCATGGGGGCAGGGTGCCTCTAGGGTAGGCCAGGTAGAATCGTCCATTAATGGAGGAGGTCCCCAGAATCCAGACTGCCCTGCAGAACAGAAGTGACAGCTATATTCATATGCCAGACAAGAGAACCAATACCAAAAGCAGCTGTAACTCAGAGAAGAACGTGTCAGCACCTGCCACCTTCTCTGCCACCAGGATCCAAGAGAGTAGCATCAGTACCTGAAAACTCTGTCCCTGCCACTGGATAACACCTACAGCTTGGGGTAGTAGATGCCAGAGGTGAAACTACTGTCATCACACATCACTGCCCATGTCTGCAGAAGTAAAATGACAAGGGTCCTGTCCTACAGGGTTAACAGAAGTAATTACAGACTAATGAAGTAGCATTCCCCAGACAGGCAGACATCGATGTCCAGGTTCACCCTGCATCGCTCCTCTACAATGACTCCAGATGCTCTGTTTTTGGTATATTAAGAACACAAAAAAATGGGAATAAACAGCTTATATTCTGCTCATGGAATCACAGCCACTCCTGGCGAAAAGTTCTGCAGCCGGACCCTCACTTTGCCTCCTCTGCTCCTCTCCCTTACAAAGGAGTCTTCCCTCTTGAAGTGTTGTCAAAGGCCTCTGAGACCTCTGGAGAGTGGAGGATGCCTGGAATCTTGCAGGGGAATGATAGTCTTCTGTGAAGAACAAGTTACTTGTAAATGTCTACAAAGCTCAGATGTGTTCATCTTAATTCATAGGGAATTCCGACTTTAAGCATATTACAGGACACAGTAATTATGTCCAACAGAAAAAAGAGGTAGAAATTCACATAACAGATTTAATGCAAGTGTTTTGGTATAAAACTCCTGGTATGTGTCATGAGACTGTATCAGCTCTAACAGTGACTGGGGACACAACCAGAAACTGCTCATGTAAACATAACTGAAGGACACGGTATTCAAACTATTTATACCTCAGGTATAGCTGGAAGGATTCCAGACAACTCATTTACCAACAAAGACGGGAAGGTGATGACTGGTGACATTGACTTTATCAAAGACCACTCTAAATAGCACAGGGCACAACATATAAAGTTGGAGTCATGATGTCTTTTTGCACTTTTGAATTTTAAACAATATGGCAGACTTTCTAACAGGTTAATCTCCTAGCCAGAATCAAGAAAGGAAGACACAGCAGCCACACTGTTCCCACAGAGGTGAAGTTGGAAGGGGTCACCCAGGCCAGGAGACTTCTGTTTGGAGTGTGGGGTCATCCTCCTCTCGTTATTTCCTGAAACACATGGAAAGACCTTAAGGTACTCAGTCTCTAAGAACTTTTGGCTTCTAAACTTACCACAGAAAGCTGACACACTACAAATTGACAAGCCTGTGGGCTCCTGGGTTATGAGTGTGCATTTGGAAAACAAAGAATTAAACAGACATACCATACAACATGCAAAATGGCATGACAAGGCCAGGAGAGTGTGTTCTACAGAAAAGAGGAGGTTTTCCCGAAAGACTTGTAACTGAGAATGGCCCCAGCATTTACCTTGTCCTTGTCTGCATTCTTGGTACAGAGCTGCTGTAACTCACAGAGGTTTCAGAGTTTCTGGATCTACTAAAGACCCTAGAAGGGACAGAGGTTTATTCTGCTTTTAGAGGACTGTGCGGAATGAAAACAATCCCTCTTCTGATTGCTCAAGTATCTTAAACTTTTCCCTACACTCAGGTCCCTGATCAGAGGCAGAGGGTATCCCACATGCCTCAGGTGACCCCCAAAGATAAGGGGGAGAACCATCCCCTCACTTTGATAAAGACCTCATGGTGCCCTAGTCCATGTTGTTTCATAATTAAATAACTGTGGACAGGTCAGGCTCAACTAGCAATTTAGAATTCATCAATAAAACAGAGGTTTCTCAGTATACATCATGGGAAATCACCATTTCATTACAGATTAAGAATAAATATGAGGACGCTTGGGTGGCTCAATGCTAACGCTTGGGTTAAGCATCTGACTCTTGACTTTGGCTCAGGTCATGATCTCACAGCTTGTGAATTCGAGCCCAGCATTGGGTCCTCAATGACAGTGTGGAGCCTGCTGGGGATTCTGTCTCTGCCTCTCACTCTATGCCTCCCAGACATACTCTGTCTCTCTCAAAATAAATAAACTTTAAAAAAAGAATAAAATTGAGAATACCGGTTTGGTGTATATCCTCAATGAATCCTTAAGAAGGGTGTGTTTCTTCAGACTTAAGGCGAATTGTTCAATCTTTCAGCTTATCTATAAGCTGCCTTCCACATGTGAGAAGTTATTATATAAGTAAAGACTAATTTTACACTATTGAGAAAATGAAAACTATGAGAATTTAGCAGTTAAACTGCAGAGTTGAACTGATAACATCAGAGGACTAAGCTATATGGAACTTGAATTTAGGCATGTAGGGCTACAGTTCACAAAACCAAACAAAAATAAAGAACATTAAAAATAGTAAATAAATGACCTTCTCCTCAAATAAAGTCTTCACATTGAGTCCAGGTGGGAAGAAGGATGAGGCCCATGTCCTGTCATCCTTTCCAGGCTCTTCAGACAGGGGGATGCTAGAGGAGGTGGGAGGGTCACAGAGGAGGGGCATGTGTCCACCAGTCACAGGGACAAGTGCCCCACTGCCTGCGGCACCAGAGGAGAACACCCTCCTATCACCCCTTCAGACCACCTGCTGTCCTTAGTGCCCGTGATTCTTTCCAGACCACATGATGATCACCCACAGGAACAGGCTGCACAGCAGAAATTAGGCCACTGTATGTCACAACATGCTCCTTACCTCTCCTTGGAGGGTTCTGCATCTCTGGTCTTCCAGGCATTGGTTTCTTCCTCATGAATCCCTCAGGCAGCCTCTTTCCTTCCATCCAATCCAGTCTTGGATACAGAAAAAGAATGGACTTCTGTAAGAGTTGCAACAATACGTCCTCTACTAGACAACAAACAGTGCAGGTGTCATCCCTCGAAACACCCATAAAAATGCCAGTCAAATGGCCACACCTGTATTTTAAGTAGGCGACCTCCCTGCTCTGCTCTGCCACCTCCCTGTCCCAGATCTGAGTCTTGATCTGGGGGAGAAAAAAACACATCCACCTTCAGTCTTGCCAGACTGTGCACCAAAGAAAGAGGAGGAAACAAGAAAGCACCCAGTTGTGCTGAGCATTCTTCTCATGAACTGCAATCTGAAAAAGCCAACAATGAAAAGCCCGTGTTTAGGGATTCCAAGGGCCACTACACTCACCTGCATGAGGTGCTAAGGGTTCAGTCTGGCAGGCAGAACTCAGATTACCTGGTGTCTGAAGGTGAGCTCTGCCTGCTGCAGCTGTTCTTGTGTTTGTTCAATTTGTTGCCTCTGAATTACAATTGCTTTTGGCAGATAAGGCCCAATATTGGGTATGATTTTAAATAATCTGCCCACGTTCCCATCAACCTCGTATCTGTCCCCGATACAATTTATTCTTACATGATTATAAATGTACGGTAGGATCAAAGCTATTGTTACATCCTTTCCTTATTATTCCATGATTGTAGGGTTCAGAGTTCATAGAATTCCTTCCCATTTTCAATCTTGGCCTAATTCATCATGTGACAAGTGTCTTTCACCATAAAGCTCTATTCTCCTTTAACTTATATCCTCACCATGTTTCCCCGGGTTGCAAAGACAAGGGCCATGAAATGGCACTACCATGTTGATGGGTATGATTCATCATATGACACACTGCTCTCCTATAGATTATGACAATTGACACCACCCCCAAGGAATGTTGGCATGGACGAAGTTTCCACACAGTCTGGCCATTGCTTGAGATCCACAAATGTTTAGAAACTTAACTGTTTTGTTCTAAAACTTACCTTTTTTTTTTAATCTGTTAATACTCTATGCATATGTCCTCTGAATTTTTGCTTATATTACTATGTTGAGTCTAAACACTGTAAAAAGGTTAAAAACAAAAAAATGAACAGATGTTTCATGAGCTGCTGGTAATCAGTAGCTGAACTCGTACTTGTTTATTTCTTCTGTAGCTATTTTCTTTTTTTTAATGTTTGTTTATTTTTGAGACAGAGAGAGAGAGAGTGAGTGCGTCCATGAGCGGGGGAGGGAAGAGAGAGAGGTAACAGAATCAAAAGCAGGCTCCAGGCTCTGAGCTGTCAGCACAGAGCCTGACACAGGGCTTGAACTCACGGACTGTGAAATTATGACCTGAGCTAAAGTTGGACACTTAAACGACTGAGCCACCCAGGCACCCCTTCTGTAGCTATTTTCAAATTTTACCTGCAGCTGCCAGCTGATTCTTCTTTGCCACCAGTTCACAGTGTCATTTTCAGCTTCCTAAGATGGGAAAGATATATACACAGTCAGGACCAACGTCCAGAAATTCTCCCTTTGTACCTCCCAGCACTCTTGAAGGCCTATGCAAATATCCCTTCCCCCACATCTCCCATAAATGCACAGACTGACAACACAATCAGAGAAATGAAGTGAACACCCCATTTAAGTTAAAGAAAATTCAACTTCTGTCTGCTGCCACAACTCTGCTATCAGAACTCTTTCTAGTTCTCTGTTTCCTCTCCTTTATCATAAAGTCATCAAGTAACATTGCACTTTGTGCCTTCCCAGAGTTGGTCTTTTGTTTGAGATGGTGAAGACTCATTTCATCAATGTGAAAAACCATGTCTGACCAACTGTACCCATTAGGATGAAGCAGGGGATCATCACTAGTCTTATACCTCCCATGGGGAGACCTGATTCTCAGTCCAAAAGTTGTACCGTGACACAATCACCCTGAAAGATGACCTTCCAGGATATGGCTTCACCAACATTGCAGCTCACTCCCAGACATTGCTAGAGTTCAGGACTACAATCCCTGCCTCCACCTTCACCTATCCTGGTGGAGAAAAAGGCCAATCTTTGCAGTAACATCTCCTGAAGTACAACCTGATATGAATGGTCACACAGTGTGCGTTTACTTCCTGGAAACAGATTTCAGATGGAAAACTCTCAACTTCATAGAACCAAATCTACTTTAAAAAGACTGATTCCATTGATAGTGAAAGCAGCAACAGGCAATGCTTGGCAAGGCTGGTTTGCTGTGTTGCCCTCAGACTATTTTGTTTGTGGTGTTGATCTGGTTTCAACTTGACACTTGATGTACTCAAGAATCACATGCAAAATTGAAAGTCTCTTAGAAACGGACACAAAAGCACTAGACAGAGAAAGGCACAAGCATTTACTTCTGGCCTCTCAGGGAGTCCTTCAGCAAATGTTTTCTGGAGTGGGTGTCATGTAGTGGCTCTGTTGTAAGGGGCTGGAGAGAGAGAGGTGGTCAGGGTGCTGCACCCACTCACATAAAGAGCTTATGAATTAACAAAAACAAGATGCGACACAGAGCAGGCCCTAACCCCAGGTGTGGGAAGGACTAACATAAAGCTGAGTCTCCAGGGAAGAGAAGGAAGACTTCACTTTCCAACATGAATGAGGGACTCTAAAGTCCCTGATCTCCTCTTGAGAACAAAAGGAAATCTGTACAAAGGAGGAAGCATGTGAGTGAATGAACCAAATATCTAACAACTCCACAAAGACACACAAGACCAAGAAGGAGAAGAAGGAAACCCAGGACAAAGCCAGCCTGGCAGTTGGACCCAATCTCCCTAGGACTCATCATTGATTTGGGGGGGGGGGGGCATACATCTGAACAGCAAAGAAGCTGAACAACTTTATGGGCACAGACTTAGAAGTAAACAAGTGTAGTTCAGGGGCGGCCAGCAAAGATGAGCCCTAGTGAAGCTGCAGACTTTGATCAAGACTCAGAAGAGTTACACTTAAAAACTCAGGGGACAGGAAACAACTTCTCTTTCTTAGGGATTGGGCCTACAGTGAATAATCTCACTGGCAGAATGGATGCAGGGATCCAGTACTGCTGGCATCCCTACCCACTTTCCAGAAAGCAACATCTATTGTTTCTGCAGCAAGATAATTCAGTTTTTTCCCCACACATATTTGACCCATGTCTGGTCCTGAACAAAAATGACCTAATTGCTGGATGACAAAACAGTGTGATGGGATTGAAACCTACAGGACAATCCAGAGTACCTTCCCTCTTCCACCCCCAAATACATGACACAATGTGTGACAAGCACTTAGGACAGAAAGGAAAATGCAGGTTATGTTACAGAAAGCAAGGTATGAAGGGCAGGCCCAATTCTACTGACTGCATTTGGCAAAAACACTCTGGACCCAGTTCCAAAAGAAATAGAATTATCTCTACTGTCTGCCACATTCTTTCATACAATGCAGTCCTTGTGACAGTTCTCACATGAACATCTTACTTTTCTGTAGCCACTTTTCTTTGTTCATAGAATTCTTCCAGGTTATGTGCTTTTTCCTTCAGCTGTTTGACTTTTGGTTCCTTTGTGGCTTTCACAGACCTCAATGCATGACACTTGTCTTCCAGGGTCTTTTTATTTTCTGTAAACAAACAAACAAACAAACAAACAAAAAAGGTATTTTCTTTATAAATGTGCACATGACCTGCGTCTTGATTTTGGTGAGACAGAAAAAGGGCAAGAACCATGAAGGTATGAAGGTATTCTTTCCCTTTCCAATGCAAAGTCATTGCCACCATATGGGGATTTCTCCCCAAAAGAAAATATACCTTCCAGTTGACAGTTATTGGACCTCAAGGCTCTTAGCTCTACATCCTCAAATTCAACATTTGCATCTTGTAGTTAAGACAGATATGAGAAAAGACTTTCATAGAAAACTGATTGCACAATTTGAGTGTACCTCACACAGCAGGATTGTGCATTACAATAAACAAAGACCTTGAGGCATAAATATAACTAGAAGACAAAGATGGTGGAAAATAGTTCATGTCTTAAAAGTCATAAATGGCTTTCTCAGTGGTATACAAATGTGTGTGTGTGTGTACACACACACACACACACACACACACACACACACACACACGTGTGTGTATCCCCTTCCCCCATTCATGTTGAAAATTCACTGTTCAACATTAGGAGAGAAAGAGACTATGGAGCACCTGGGTGGCTCAGTCAGCTGAGCATAAGACTCTTGATTTTGGGTCAGGTCATGATTCTAGGCTCATGCAATCCAGACCTGTGTTGGGCTGCACACACACTGAGTGTGGATCCTGCTTAAGATTCTCTCTTTCCCTCTGCCCCTCTTCCCAATTCACATGCCCTCTTTCACTAAAATTTAAAAAAAAATTCATAAAGAATTATTTAAAAATATTTTTTTTAAGTAAAGGATTATACACTGTGGCTATCACCCTTTCTCTCCCAACTATATTTGGGTATTTTCTACATATCTTGGAGGGCAGAATTGAATGATGTGATAATTACCTAGTTGTGAAAATAAAAGATAACACCTAGTCCTTGAAATAGCAAAACTCATCTTGGTGGTCCTAGTGAAATTCCAGCTCATTGTTCAGAAAGAGGTTTGGCTCCCAGAGGCCCACTCTCTACTGTGGTAAACGGCAAGCAAATATGCTGTGCTCACTTCACCCAATGAACAAAAAGCCTCCAAAGCCAAATTACAGTAAAACTCAGCAGCCAACTCTTACCACTTCCTGATTCTTCACATTCCTCTCTCTCTCTCTCTGAGTTTGCAAGGTAGCAAGTGCACTTTGAAGGGTATCATTTAAATTTTCATTAAAGTGGGTCCCTGGGTGGCTCAGTCAGTTAAGCATCTGACTTCAGCTCAGGTTGTCATCTCATGGTTTGGGAGTTTGAGCCCTGTGTCGGACTCTGTGCTGACAATTCAGAGCCTGGAGCCTGTTTTGGATTCTGTGTTTCCCTCTCTCTCTATACCCTCCCCTGCTTGTGCTCTGTCTCTCTCTCTCAAAAAATTAATAAACACTATTTTTTAAAAATTTCATTAAAGTGCTCCACTATTTTGATGTTCTCCTTCAACAAAACATGTTTAATGAGTAATAATAGTTCGTTACTTTTACTTGTGTTTTTAGAATGCAATCCAGGCAAAGAAGGGATTCTTACCATCAATTTAAGAGCTTCATCAGAGAGAAATTTACTTTCTCTCTTAGTTTCCTGAAGACACTTCCTTAATTCATTGTTGTGTAAAACACGAAAAAGGGATCAGAATTAAAAAAAAAAAAGCATAATGCTAGATAAACCTATCTTCTAATGTGTGACTCCTTTCACAAATAAAGAGGTAGCTCTTTACATTTGTGAAGCTTGTCTTGAATTGGTACTGTTTATAGAACACATGAAATAGGTCAGTAGGATGATCTACCAGAGTGGAAGTAACCACAATGAAATCACAAAAAAATATTTTTTTTTTTTTGAAAGGGCAATGCTACCTGCTGTTCCCAAATGGATATTTCTTCAGCAAGTGAAGTTCTCTGTTTTCTTTCTTAAAAGTATTGACCTTCTCAGTTATTTGCTGTAAACTAACTAAAAGGAGATAACACATTTTCTAAGGTTGTTACCAAACCAGTGACATCGAATAATCCCAGTGTATTAGCAGCACAGATACATGATCTGACAGGTGGGTGTAACTAACATTTTAGCTTTCCTGTTGTGCCTGAAGAAATCAAGTTTTAGCACATTCTAAACCTAAGAAAACCTTATTTCAATGAGATTCCTATTTAAGATATTGTCCAAAATGGAGAAACACAATAAAATGTCTTCTAATTTCTCTCCCATCTGGAAGCATCCTTCTTGGAAAATTCAATCACTTCAAATACTTATGTCACCACCAGAGATGAAACAGAAAAATCAAATCCTATCAACTTACATTTCTCTCTTCCAAGTATTAAGGTACATAGATAGGTCCCTGCAAATAAAGGAACAAACAAAAACAAAAAACCATCATTTAGTCTTGATTTGAGCCACTTACACCCCCAGGTGCTATTTGGAATTCCACACAAGGAAAGCTCAAACCGCTGACTGATTGACTCCTCAAAGGCCTTGGATGACTTCCTGCTGCTCACAGATTGCCGTTCATGAACCCGAGGCTGGGGGCCCTGGAGGACAAGGTCTTTGGAATCAAACATACGGGTACCATCTCAGCTTTACACTTAGTGGCCGGAGGCTCTGGATTAATGGCAATTCCTAGAAGACAAACTTTTTTCATCCCAACGTGAGAATGTTACCCTCCAATCTTACAGGAATATTATTCAACACACACGAAGGACCCAATTACAGGCAACACATGTAAGCTCTAGAACAGACTCCTCTAACAGGGATTATTTCTGTCATCTGACCATAAAGTGCAAGCTTCTCTTCTGTTGGCCCAGTGTGAGAACTCTCATGCTCTGAGATCACTCTTCCCCGCCACCACTGCTGCATTCAAAGGGATGAACACCAGCCTTTGAGGGCTTGCTAAGTGTCAGGCATCCACCCTGGCTGTCAACAGACAGCACCACAGAATCACCACAGTCTATTAAGCCCATGCAGAATACATTACCCCCATTTGTAACAATTTCATTTCCACTCATTCTCCCCTGGCATGAATGGCTCCCTCCACCTCAGACTCAAAACCATAGTTTAAAACTCTCTTGTGACACACACCCTGCCTGGCAATATCTGGCTTCGTCTCTAAGCTTAGGCTTCTTGATAGGCTTGTAGATAGAGTGTTTTCTCATTCTCACATTTCACCAAGAACCAGGTCATAGCAAAGTACTCACTCCAAACCTCAAGCTCATATCATCACTTGTTTCCTAACCATTTCTATGTAAAATTACACTCATTTCATTCCCTCTACTCTGGTGACATGTTCCTCCTCCTGATGTCTTAAGAGATGGCAACTCCCTCCACATTATTACGTAGGCTCCAAACAGGGAAGAGAAAGATGAATTTCAAGAGTTAACAAGTCAATTAGACATCAGAAGTCACCATATTTATCCTTAGGTGAATTAAAACGCACATCAAGGGGCACCTGGGTGGCTCAGTTGGTTGCATGTCTGACCTTGGCTCAGGTCATGATCCCACGGTTCATGGGTTCTACCATCCCATCGGCCTCTGTGGTGATAAGTAGGAGCCTGGAGCCCACTTTGGACTCTGTGTCTCCCTCCCCCACTCACACTCTGTCTCACTCAAACATTTAAAAAAAAAAAAAACCCATCAAACACCAGTACTGAGAAAATATTGCAAAGAAAACTAAAGCTTAAATTCTTACCGTGATATTCTTGAGGCTCTAAGAGGGGAAAAAACAAAATTAAATTTGTTGTCAAAACATATTATTAGTAAAAACCTATAGTTCCTGATAAATAACAAAATAGTAAGTAATCCAATGAAATTACAATAATTTTATTTTGCATAATTAATTTACAGCAAGAAGTTGCTGCAGCCAGGATCAAAGAGGTAGGTTGCCTGTTTTCTCCTGTAGGATTTTGATGGTTTCCTGTCTTACATTAGATCTTTCATCCATTTTGAGTGTGTGTGTGTTTCAGAACATGGTCCACGTTCATTCTTCTCACTGTCCAGTTTTCCCAGTACCACTTGCTGAAGAGACTTTTTTTTCCATTGGATATTCTTTCTTGCTTTGTCAAAGATTAGTTGGCCATATGTTTGAGGGTCTGCTTCTGGGTTCCCTATTCTGTTCCACTGATCCATGTGTCTGTTTTTGTGCCCATACCACACTGTCTTGATGATTGCAGCTTTGTAATATACCATGAAGTCCAGAATTGTGATGTCTCCAGCTTTGTTTTTCTTTTTCAACATTACTTTGGCTATTCAGGGTCTTTCTCTGCTGTCCCCTATGCTTTTTCCAAGCCCAGCGATTAATTTTATGACTATTATTCTAAATTCTTGTTCTGTTATATTGCTTAAATCGTTTTTGATAAATTCATTAGCTGTTGCTACTTCCTGGAGTTTCTTTTGAGGAGAATTCTTCCGTTTCATCATTTTGGGTAGTCCCTGCGGTTGCTCCAAACTGCAGGGCACTTCCCCTGTGTTGTCCGGAGTAGCTTGTGTTGATGGGCGGGATGGCAGTCAGACCTGATGTCTGCCCCCAGCTCACCACTGGGGCCACAGTCAGACTGGTGTGTACCTTATCTTCCCCTCTCCCAGGGAAAGGACTCACTGTGGAGTGGTGTGGCCCCTGTCTGGGCTACTTGCACACTGCCAGGCTTGTGGTGCTGCTTCGTGGGGATCTGGCATTTTAGCCGGGGTGGATCCACAAGATGCACAGGGGCGGGAGAGGGAGACTCAGCTCACTTTGCCTTTGGTGGTCTGCTTCTGGAGGGGCCCTGTGGCACCGGGAGGGAGGCAGACCCATCGGAGGGATGGATCCACAAGAAGCACAGTGTTGGATGTTTGCGCAGTGCAAGCAAGTTCCAGGATGGGAACTGGTTCCCTTTGGGATTTTGGCTAGGGGATGGGCGAGGGAGATGGCGCTGGCTAGCGCCTTTGTTCCCCGCCAAGCTGAGCTCTGGCCTCTGGGGCTCAACAACTCTCCCTTCCATTGTCCTTTAGCCCTCCTGCTCTCCCAGCAGAGCTGCTGACTTATAACATTCCAGATGTTAAGTCCCGCTGGCTGTCAGAACTCATGCAGTCTGGCCCCCTCCGCTTTTGCAAGCCAGACTCGGGGGCTCTGCCTTGCCAGGCAGGCTGCCCCTCCACCGCCCCGGCTCCCTCCTGCCAGTCTGTGTAGCACACACGACCTCTCCGCCCTTCCTACCCTCTTCTGTGGGCCTCTTGTCTACGCTTGGCTCTGGAGAGTCTGTTCTGCTAGTCTCCTGGCATTTTTCTGGGTTATTTAGGCAGATGTGGGTGGAATCTAAGCAATCAGCAGGACACAGTGAGCCCAGTGTCCTCCTATACCACCATCTTCCATGATCTCTCTCTTCCTGACAGCTGATGTTTAAAAAAAGAGCAAAAAGTGCTCTCAGACGTCAGTCACGCCTGACAAATTCTAGCTCAATCAAATCTAGGCATGACCCAGTTTTGACACCATTAACTTATTTCCCCATTCTAAAGTTTTAAGGGATGATGAAAGGCTGAGGCCAGCCCTAAACTCCTGCCAGGATATTGGAATATCATCATGCTATCAAAAAGCCACTTAGGAAACTCTGAGCTTCCCTGTGTCACCCAGCCCCATGGGCAGGGGAAATGAAAAGGAATATGAACACACCAAATACTTAATATGTGTGTTTCTTTGTGAAGGCAAGTTTTCTACAGTGGCAGGGAGAGGGGCAAATACTCATTTAGAAATAAATTCCAAAGTATTCTGTTCTTCCAGAAAAGATCTGCCCTCAAAAGGAACTAAGAGCCTAACTGGGGATTTCCCAAAGAGTAAGCAATACAGGTGAGGGAAAATACTCAACTCCAGGGCTCTCTCCTTCCTGTCTCACCTGGGAGTAAATTCAGCCTAACTCCTAGCCAGATAAATATATAAACCTCACACTCATGTCCTATTTACCTCAGTTTCTTTACCAGCACATAACATTTACCTTTCAACACAACTTACAAGGCATAGTAAAGTAAAAACCACACAGTTTGAACACAGACAGGAACCATTAGAATCACACTTCCTATGGCAGAGATGTAGGGATTATCAGTCTGGGAACTTAAAACCACTTCCATTCCTATGATAATGCAGACAATGAAAAAAGTGAACATGCAAAAAGAGATGGTGAATGTAAGCTAACAAACATTAGCACCTCTGTTGCTCTAGTTACCTTTATTATTCTTATTTTACTAACAATCCTTGAGTTTGCCCTAGCCCTAATTCAAGCTTATGTTTTTACCCTACTAGTAAGCCTATACCTACATGGCAATACCTAATGACCCACCAAACCCATGCATATCACATAGTCAACCCTAGCCCATGACCACTTACAGGAGCCCTTTCAGCCCTCCTAATAACTTAAAGGTCTAGCCATATGATTTCACTATAACTCAACATTACTACTAACTTTAGGAATAACTACCAACATATTAACCATATACCAATGATGGCGAGACATTATCCGAGAATACATTCCAAGGTCACCACACACCTATTGTTCAAAAAGGTCTGCGATACAGAATAATTCTCTTCATTGTCTCAGAAGTGTTCTTTTTTGCAGGCTTCTTCTGAGCTTTCTACCACTCAAGCCTAGCCCCAACTCCCGAATTAGGAGGCTGTTGACCCCTCTTAACCCCCTAGAGGTATTACCCCTCTTAACCCCCTAGAGGTCCCATTACTTAATACCTCAGTATTTCTAGCCTCTGGAGTATCAATTACTTGAGCTAACCATAGCCTAATAGAAGGTAATCGAAAACACATACTCCAGGCCCTATTTATTACAATTTCCCTGGGAGTGTACTTCACACTCCTTCAAGCCTCAGAATACTATGAAACATCATTCACAATCTCAGATGGAGTTTATGGATCCACTTTCTTTATAGCCACAGGATTCCACGGACTACATGTAATCATTGGCTCTACTTTCCTAATTGTATGCTTCTTGCATCAACTGAAATATCATTTCACATCAAATCATCACTTCAGATTTGAAGCCGCTGCTTGATACTGACATTTCGTAGACATGGTCTGACTATTCCTATATGTTTCTGTTTATTGATGAGGATCCTATTCCTTTAGTATTAACCAGTACAGTTGACTTCCAATCAACCAGTTTCGGTATAGTCCGAAAAGGAATAATAAACGTAATACTTACTCTACTCAGCAACACACTCCTATCCACACTACTTGTATTGATCGCATTCTGATGACCTCAACTAAATATCTACGCAGAAAAAGCAAGCCCATATGAGTGTGGATCTGACCCTATAGGGTCTGCTCGTTTACCCTCTTCCATGAAATTTTTCTTAGTAGCCATCACATTTCTGTTGTTTTACCTAGAAATTGCATTGTTACTACCCCTCCCTTGAGCCTCACAAACAAATAACCTATCGACTATGCTCACCATGGCTCTTCTACTAATCTCACTATTAGCCGCAAGCCTAGCCTATGAATGAACCCAAAAAGGACTAGAGTGAACTGAATATGATAATAAGTTTAAATTAAAACAAATGATTTCGACTCATTAGATTGTAGTTTGCCTTATAATTATCAAATGTCTATAGTCTATATTAATATCTTTCTAGCTTTCATTATGTTATTTATAGGACTAATATATCAGTCCCATCTAATATCCTCCCTCTTATGCCTAGAAGGTATAATGCTATCTCTATTCATTATAATAACTGTAGCAATCCTAAATAGCCATTTCACACTAGCTAGCATAACCCCTATTATCTTACTAGTATTCGCAGCCTGCGAAGCAGCATTGGGCCTATCCTTACTAGTAATAGTATCAAACACATACGGTACTGACTACGTACAAAACTCAAACCTCCTAAAATGCTAAAAATTATTATCCCTACCGCAATACTCATACCACTAACATGACTATCAAAACCCAACATAATCTGAATCAACTCAACAGCCTACAGCCTGTTAGTTAGCCTCATTAGCCTTACTTACCTCAACCAACTAGGCGAGAACAGTCTTAACTTCTCACTATTATTTTTCTCAGACTCACTCTCTGCACCCCTATTGGTACTAACAACATGACTCCTACAATTAATACTTATAGCCAGCCAATCACACCTATCAAAAAAACCCCTAACCCGAAAAAAACTATATATTACAATACTCATTCTCCTGCAGCTTCTCTTAATTATAACATTTACTGCCACAGAATTAATTATATTCTACATTCTATTTGAAGCCACATTAATCCCTACCCTAATCATCATTACCCGATGGAGTAACCAAACAGAACGATTAAATGCCGGCCTATATTTCTTATTCTACACCCTAATAGGCTCACTACCTCTACTGGTCGCACTATTATATATCCAAAATACAACAGGATCCTTAAATTTCCTAATTATTCAATACTGAGCCAAGCCAATTTCAACCACTTGATCCAATATTTTTCTCTGATTAGCATGCATAATAGCATTTATAGTAAAAATACCTCTGTACGGACTCCATCTCTGACTACCAAAAGCACACGTTGAAGCTCCTATTGCCGGATCAATAGTTCTTGCCGCCATATTATTGAAACTAGGCAGATACGGAATGATACGTATTACAGTCTTACTTAACCCTGTAACAAACCAAATAGCATACCCCTTCATAATACTATCCCTATGAGGAATAGTTATAACAAGCTCTATCTGCCTACGCCAAAAAGACCTAAAATCTCTAATTGCATACTCATCTGTAAGTCACATAGCTCTAGTAATTGTAGCAGTACTAATCCAAACACCATGAAGCTATATAGGAGCAACAGCTCTCATAATCGCCCACAGACTAACTTCATCAATACTATTCTGCCTCGCAAACTCAAACTATGAACGAGTATATAGGCAAACAATAATCCTAGCATGAGGTTTACAAACTATTCTTCCCCTAATAGCTGTCTGATGACTACTAGCTAGTCTTGCAAACCTAGCCCTGCCCCCTACAATTAACTTAATCAGAGAGCTATTTGTAGTAATAGCCTCCTTCTCATGATCTAACGTTACCATTATTCTCATAGGTACAAATATTATCACCACAGCCCTATACTCTCCTTACATACTTATTACAACCCAACGAGGTAAGTATACACACCATATTAAAAACAACCCATCATTTACACGAGAAAATGCTCTAATAACTTTCCACCTACTCCCACTCTTTCTCCTATCGCTTAATCCTAAAATCATACTGGGTCCTATTTACTGTATATATAGTTTAACAAAAACATTAGATTGTGAATCTAATAATAGAAGTGTAAACCTTCCTATTTACTGAAAAAGTATGCAAGAACTGCTAATTCATGCCTCTGCGTATAAAAACGTGGCTTTTTTAACTTTTATAGGATAGAAGTAACCATTGGTCTTAGGAACCAAAAAATTGGTGCAACTCCAAATAAAAGTAATAAACTTATTTGCCTCATCTATACTAACTGCAATATTCATCATACTACTACCCATTATCATATCTAATACTCAGCTATACAAAAATAATCTATATCCACACTATGTAAAAACCACAATTTCCTATGCCTTTGTTATTAGCCTGGTCCCGACCATAATATTTATTTCCTCCAGACAAGAAGCAATCATCTCAAACTGACATTGACTGTTGATCCAAACTCTTAAACTATCACTAAGCTTTAAACTAGACTATTTCTCAATTATTTTTGTACCTGTAGCACTCTTCGTTACATGGTCAATTGTAGAATTTTCAATATGATACATACATGCAGATCCATACATTAACCGATTTTTTAAAAATATCTCCTTATATTCCTAATTACCATAATAGTCTTAGTAACCATGAACCCCTAAGATTTTAAAGTGATTCGAGATATCAAGAGCACCATAACAGAAATAAAAAATGCCTTTGATGGGTTAACAGACTCAACATAGCTGAGGAAAGAATCATTGAGCCTAAAGAAATGCCAGCAGCACCTTCCAAAAAGGAAACACAAAGAAAGAAAATAAAAAATATGGCACAGAAAACCCAAGACCAGTGGGACAATTGCAAAATGTGTAATACACACGTTAGGAATACGAGGACAATGGAGAAGAGAGTTATTTGAAGCAATAATGACTGAGGATTTTCCCAAATAAATAGTCACCAAATCACAGATCCAGGATGCTCAAAAAATCAAAAGCAGGACAAATACCCAAGACAAACATACAAATGACTAATAACAAGAACAAAAAACCCACCAACTATGCTTAATATATTCAACTATGGATAATTAAAACAGCCTTGGAAATCTGGAGCAGGGGTTGTGGGTGTGAGGAGAGAGGGGTAAGAACACCTTACCCAAGAGGAACAAGGATAAGAAATACCTGAGATTTCTTTTCATAAACCATGCAATCAAGAAGAATGGAATATTTCAAGTGTTAAAAGAAACATCAAACTATCTAACCAGTGAAATTATCCTTCAAACACACTACAGAGTAAGGAAAATTGTCAGGGATAATGACTGGCATTACATCAATGGTAAAGAAGTCAGTTCTCCAAAAAGGCACAACAGTTTCTAATGTGCATGCATTAGCAAGAGATGTGTCAAGATACATAAGGCCAACATTGACAGAACTGCTGGTAGAAAGAGCTGAATCCATTACTACAGCTGGAGAATTCAATACCCTCTATCAGTCACTGACAGATCCAGCATACAGATATTCAGTAAGATCACAGATGACCTGAACAGTATCACCAATCAACTGGATCCATTACCATCTGTAGAACACTTCATCCAACAGAAAATTATATATTCCTGTCAAGCTCACAGAACATTCACTGAGATAGGCCATATTTGCGGCCATAAGATACATCTGAACAGCCACAATAACAGAAATCATAGGAACTATGTTCTCAGACCACAAATGAGTCAAATTAGACCTCACAAACAGAAAGATATCTGGAAAATGACAAAAACATTGTAGATTAAATAAGCTTCTAAAGAACACATGGTCTGTTAGAGGGGAGGTTTGTGGGGGGATGGGCAAAAGAGGTCAAGGGGATCAAGAGTACATTTATGGTGATGAGCACTGAGAAATGTAAAGAATTGCAGAATCATAATGTACACCTGAATCTAATATTACATTGTATGTACATTATACTTGAACTTAAAAATATATATATGTGTCAAAGAAGACATTTCTACAGAAATTTTTAAATAGTTCAATCTAAATGATAGTGACAATTGAACAGATTAGAGGGAAATTTGTAATACTGAGTGCATATAAGCACAGTGAGTATAAAATTTTCTGCTTATTTATGATTTAAAAAATATAAGGTACTTTAGTATACTCACAGCAAGTACAGTTCTGAAGAGGTAAATTAGAAATGCACAAATTCCCAGGGAGGCAGTAATAATGTTATGATTCCACAGAATTCCAAACACATCAGAGCCAAGAGAGAAATGGTATGCTAAAATATGGAGAAGCTGAAATAATATTGGAGACAACAAGGAATCCATCAAAGACATTTACAATATAACTGTCACAAAGAATCATCTTTACAAACTCTCAACCAATCTCCAGGAGACTTTCAAATGCCTCCTCAAAGGAGGAGGACAGACGGCTTAGAAAGCAGCAGGAGCAAACTTTTGGGAGTGATGGAGTGTGTTTACTCTCTTACTGTGGTGATAGCTTCATTACTCCTTACATATGTCAAATATCAACAAATCATTTCCTTTAAAAAGGTGTTACTATACATAAATTACACCACACTGAAGCTATTGGAAAACTCTAACAGGCAACACTTAGGGATTTTATTTTGCTGACAAACACATTCCAAATACTTTCTAAATAGTTAACTTAAGAATCTATAAACAAACTTAAAATAGAAAAATATGTAATGCAAACATATGGTAGATAAGAAGTCAATGACTTTTATTGTACATTCTTAAAGTATCTAAATAAACTCCTTTGAAATATCCCCAAAAATATGCCCCAAATTTTTGGAAGAATGGGAGAAAGTAACAATAAAAAATGTACTAGAGATACAAATGAGAATGTTAGACAGATAGATGTTTACAGATAGGGATATAACTGAGAGAGATGGGTAGTTGCTATTATGAGATTATTATTCCAAGCAAATTATACTTATTTTTCACTTCCTAAACCCATGGACATTTTCTTTTAATGTTTGATACCAAATCATAGCCCAAAATGTCAGATTTCTGAAGTAAATAAAGACTTGCATAATCAGATGATCTTGTATATTCTGATGATATCTATGAGATTTTAAGTTCCTCTGAATACACCCGTCAAATAGCCAATGAAAGGAATTCACATTCCTATTTCACAGTATTGTACCTAAATCAATCAATAACAACTTTGAAAATTTCTAAAAGAATACAAAAGTCCTGGATATGGTTATCAAAACAAAAGAACACATATCATTTTACAAAAACTAGACTTACCAGTATTTTAGGAGCAAACACACACACAATGCAATTCACACGAATTCACATACGAAGCTGTAATTTTGTGCAACTGAACCTTTCTAGAAAGTAGCCTCCACAATGTATACCATTTGTTTCTTCAGCTCTCAGAACTGAGGTCACTAAAATGTGTGCTGATTGGAAATGTACACGGTCTTTGAGTGGCCACTGTCTGAAAGAGAACAGGGGCTGTCAGCACAATGATCATGGGGATCAAATGCACCAAAAATGGGCCATATTGATATGAATGTAAACCATCCTCAGTCTTGGGTACTCTTGAAACATCTGGCAGCTGTCTAGCTGCTAATATTAGTAATTGACTCCTTTTTTTAAAAAAAAAATATTGTCAAGTTAGCTAACATACAGTGTATACAGTGTGCTCTTGGTTTGGGGGGTAGATTCCGTGATTCATAGCATATATACAACACCCAGTGCTCATCCCAACAAGTGCCCTCCTCAATGCCCATCATCCATTTCCTCCCTCTCCCATCCCCCCCCCATCAACCCTGTTTGTTTTCCATATTCAAGAATCTCTTATGGTTTGTCTCCCTCTCTGAAACTATTTTTTCCTCTTCTCTTACCCCATGGTCTTCCATTAAGTTTCTCAAGTTCCGCATATGAGTGAAAACATGATAATCTGTCTCTGACTATACCCTCCAATTCCATCCATGTTGTTGCAAATGGCAGGATTTCATTCTTTCTCATTGCCAAGTAGTTTTCTCTTGTATGTATAATCCACATCTTTATGCATTCATCAGTTGATGGACATTTGGGCTCTTTCCATAATTTGGCTATTGTTGAAAGCATTGCTGTAAATGGTATAAAGGGTATATGTGCCCCTATGAATCAGCTCTCCTGTATCATTTGGATAAATTCCTAGTAGCACTATTGCTGGGTCATAGGGTGGTTCTATTTTTAATTTTTTGAGGAACCTCCACACTGTCTTCCAGAGTGGCTGCACCAGTTTGCATTCCCACTGACAATGCAAGAGGGTTCCTGTTTCTCCACATTCTTGCCAACATCTGTTTCCTGAGTTGTCAGTTTTAGCCACTCTGACTGGTGGGTGGTATCTCAGTGTGGTTTTGATTTGTATTTCCCTGATGATGAGTGATGTTGAGCAGTGTCTGTTGGCCATCCGGATGTCTTCTTTGGAGAAGTGTCTATTCATGTCTTCTGCCCATTTCTTCACTAGGTTATTTCTTTTTGGGTGTTGAGTTTGGTAAGTCTTTTATAGATTTTGGATACTAACTCTTTATCTGTCATTTGCAAATATCTTCTCCCATTGTGTCAGTTGCCTTTTAGTTTTGTTGGTTGTTTCCTTTGCAGTGCCGAAGTTTTTTATCTTCATGAGGTAGGTCCCAATTGTTCATTTTTGCTCCTATTTCCCTTGCCTTCAGAGATGTGTGGAGCAAGAAATTGCTGTGGCTGAGGTCAAAGAGGTTGTTGCCTGTTTTCTCCTGTATGGTTTTGATGGTTTCCTGTCTCACATTTAGGTATTTCATTCATTTTGAGTTTATTTTTGAGTATGGTGTATGGTGTAAGAAAGTGGTCCAGTTTCATTCTTCTGCATGTTGCTGTACAGTCTCTTCACTACGTTCTCACAGACAATGTCCATTAACAGGGGCAGGTGGGAAATACAACAAAAGTTAGTTTATGCAAAACTCAGAGATGAGGTAGGAGAGAGAGCTGAACTGATCTATGAGATGCAACCCAGATAGAGAAGGAAAATTCTAATAAAGACGACCAAGAAATTTCCTCCTTTGTAGTCTCAAAAGAAACAGAATAGATTCTATTTTGACTAGAGTTATTCATGGGGGATGATTCTGCCTCAATACAAGGGTTGTTCCAGATTACTGGGGCTTTCCAGATCCAGCTCTATGAATCTGGTGCCTGCCAATCTAAAGAAATCTACTTATTTCTATAGGTATTCCCTGTTTCTCTCCCCTGGGGGGTACAGATTTTGATGTTTAAAAATGTTTATGTATTTTTTGAGAAAGAGGGACCATGCAAGTGGGGGAGGGGCAGAGAGAGAGGGACATAAAGAGTCCCGAGCAGGCTCTGAGCTGTCATTGAAAAGCCCAACATGGGGCTCAATCTTACAAACCGTGAGATCATGACATGAGCCAAAATCAAGAGTCACACACTTAACTGATTGAGCCACCCAGGTACCCTATAGGTTTGCCTTTTCATAAGTAAGTGAAACATTCACATCGGGATCTAGGTATATCTTTATATTCGAATAATCCTAAAGACATTTGGGAACTTTTTGCTTTGGGTAAATCAACCCTCTGCACATACATGGTTAAAGAAAGGACAAATTCCTTCACTTCCTGATCATGTGGCTTCTAGTGATTTTCCTATTGTACATGTCCCAGCAGGATGCAGCTAGTTTCTGCTGGGTTGCTCAGAACTCCCATCAATGTTATGGGACAGAGTCCCTAGGGGCAGCCTCCAAAACCACAAAGAATGGGCTGATCAGAAATTCTTAAAAGTCAACAAACAAGGAAGCAAAGAGCACAAAGGACATTTCACTTTTTAACCCTCTAGTGTGAACACCAATGCTTCAGATACCACTGTTCCCAGGGCTAGCAAACTTCACAAATATGAAAGATGTGCTGATAGGAAAACTAACTACATATAAGAGAGACCCCAAACTCACAAAGCTTGAAGCAGGATCTTTACAGGGCTTCCAGGAGTCAATCTAATATCCATAGATGCTATTAAATAAGTTTCTTACATTTTTGAAAACAATTTTAATGAGATATAATTCACATATCATATAAGCCCCTATTGAAGACTCAGATCTCAGTGGCTTTTAGTATCTTCATAAATCCTTCCTTGTTGACACTATAAATATACTGTTTTTAGGTTTCCATCCTGTCAATGCTGATCTTTTTGGACAAAGCAGCACAAGCCGAACCCAGAACTGGATGTGGACAGCTGTGGAAAAACCTGGCCTGTGGTCTTCAGTCTTCAGGAAGAACTGAAGTTCTTCTGAAGTTCCCATCAAGAACCCCATGAATAAGCTGTTGTTTAACCACAGTATGAATGAACCCAATAGGAAGGAAGAATCCACCTATGTCCCATGTTTACTCACATTTGGGTTTGAGTAACTGGGACACCAGAGCATGAGTAGACAGAAAAACACCCTCTGCACCTTCGTGTCCTGGTTGTTATCAGGGGGCACCGGGGCACCAGGGAGGAAGTGGGGGTGGGAATGGAGTGGGGTGATAATTGGGGCTGGAGGTGGTGTTTCAGTAAGGGTGGGATTGGGGAGGGTGTGTGTGTCAGGAGAAGAAGGGGGTGAGGGACAGTACCAAGATCAGATCAAGTTCTTGAGTGGAGGAAGGGGGGTTCAGACAGGTTAGTTGGTCAGCAGGTCAACAAATCACTAGGTGAGCAGGACACAAGTAGCAGCTGGAGCAGAGGAGGATCCATCTATCTTCAAGCCTTCAACTCCCTGAGCATTGCTTTAACAGCCTGTAACATTTATACTCTCTCTCTCGAACAATCAGCTGCCTTCACCCCTGGTAGATCAACACAGACACCCAGCGTGACTTAATTTTTTAAAAAGCCACTTCTCACCTGCCACATCACCATGTGCCATCCCAATGACTGTTGCTCTCTGGAACACTGGCAGATCTTCTGGTTTCTGGTCCCTCCCAACCCAGGTCCCTTTCCCCTCTTCTTGGAGCTCTCTCCTTCCTTTCAGAACTCCAATGAAATACATAAGCAGAGTGAGCATCTTCAACCCTCTCTAAATAACCCAAAGAAGATAGAACATACATAAGATATAGATCTTGATAGCAACCATCTAAATCCTACAGCAATATCCATTTATGTGTCCACATCTACATATAACACTGTTGAGGACACATTAACTTTAAGCACATAGGATGCAGATATAAAAATTCACACTATTTTGGCCATCCGTGAAATTTCAATATATTCCAGAGGAATGAAACACACAGAATATCTTTTGGTAATTTAATGTGCTAGAAATAGCTGCTAAAAACCTAACTAGAAATTCCAGTATGTTTAGTAATTGAGAAGTACCTTCATAAATATGAGTAAAGAAATCCCAAAGAAAAAGAGCTATATTTGACTGAATGGTATGAGCATGATAAAATTATATCAAATATGTCTCCAGACCTGGAATATCCTGAAATATTGGTGTGAGAAGATTGGTCCCCAAATCATCTCTAACTGACCTAGACCTTTTAATACCCCAAATAGTGGTCGATCTGTCACTTGTCTATATGACCCTCCTACCCATTAGGATGGACTTTATATTATGAATCCCAGAGGAGGAATAATCCAAGGTGACTCTCATGGGATCTCCTGGGATCTGCAGGAATGAGAGCATTTTAAGAGAAATACTTCATCAGCTTATCTCCTGGGAGCCCTGGGACAACACCCATATTGTTGGCAGCACTAGGTGTGCTGGGCAGGGAGGGCCTAGCAGGTGGCCAGGGTCACCCCAATTATAACTGGAGCAGGGATCAGGGAAAGAAGCAGCAGTGAACAGAGACTGGGGGCCTCAAACAGGTGAGATCATTCATGGAGGTAAAGTAGTGTCCCCAAAGCCAGTATCAGCTTCCCATCTGGAGAGCCCTTTGTGGCCCCTGGGGACAGGGCCAGGAGCCTAGAGTTTGAGATCCAGCTGTGCTGCTTACCAGCTGTGTGACCCTGGGCTGGTTTCTTTCAGTAAAATGGTGTCCTTCCGTATCCATGCCTGTGTCTATAACTGTGCTGTGGACAGGAGGAAGCCACGTCTTGAGCACCTGTGCACATTAGCATCACCATCTCCATGTGATGCAGGATCATCGAGCCCAATGGTCATGAATGAATTGAGATATCGTATCGTGCAAAAAGGTGTTTTAATTATACCACAGGGACAGGACCCATTGGCAGAAAGAGTTGTATTTGAAAGGTGAGGAATGATTGTATACTTTTAAGTTTGGGGGTGTGTGGAGGGTAAAGATAATCTAAGTCTCTAAAGCGATTTGTGCATGTTAAAGAAGAGTCATGGGATCCTGGAGTTCTGGCTGTTGTGAAGACAGGGTTGCTTTCAGTCTCTAGCAAAACATCACCATTAAGGCAGACATGAGCGTCTTTTTTTTTTTTTTTAACGTTTTTTATTTATTTTTTTGGGGACAGAGAGAGACAGAGCATGAACGGGGGAGGGGCAGAGAGAGAGGGAGACACAGAATCGGAAACAGGCTCCAGGCTCTGAGCCATCAGCCCAGAGCCTGACGCGGGGCTCGAACTCACAGACCGTGAGATCGTGACCTGGCTGAAGTCGGACGCTTAACCGACTGCGCCACCCAGGCGCCCCATCAGACATGAGCGTCTTGAGCAGGGTCACGCTCTGCATGTCTCAGGGATTTATCAGTGGGCTGCAAGTTGTGAGAAAATATAATTTTGATTATTATTCTCTTCCCTTTGTTCTCCTCATTCTCCCACCCCGAACAATTTTTTAAGTTTCTTTATTTTGAGAGAAAGACACAGAGAGTGAGCAGGAGACGGGCAGAGAGAGCGGGAAAGAGAGAATCCCAAGCAGCATCCACTCTCCTATTGCTGAGCCCAATGCAGGGTTGAACTCACACCATGAGATCATGGCCCAAGCTGAAATCAAGAATCAGAGCCTTAACTGACTGAGCCACCAAGGTGCCCCCCTGTCCTGTGAACAATTCTGACCCTTAAATCTTTAAGATTGTTGAAGGCAGGTGGAAGGCCTCATCTTCTGTAGCATCTTCCTGCTGAATAGAGACCTAGAGATGTTCCTACCTAATGGGTCAACATTGATTAGTCAGGAATGTATAGGGGAATTGGGAAATGTGGAGGCAGCCAAGTCCAATGTGGACATCAAAGAAGTATCTCTGTGGGTGGTAAGGACCATCTGTCAACCTGAAGTTATTGTAGTGATGGAGTCTTGGCACTAAGCAGAGAAACTTTGGAAAAGGCAACATATGAGGATTAGTATGGCTATAAGAATGAGAAGCCCAACAAAGAGACCCATAATAGTTGACCATAGTCCTCCTGTGAACCAGGAACTTAACCAGTCCTTGAAAGAGAGGGAAGAATTTTGTAGACCCTTAATTTGAGCATAAGTGTCAGGTGGTAATCCTGTCTTATTTTTGTGAAAATCTGGAGTACAAACCTACCACTTTGCTTTAATGAAGCATAGGTGCCTCCTTGGGTTGCAGTCAGGATATCAAGGGCCATTCAGTTTTGGAGGGCCAGTTTTTAAACTGAGCTGGGTCTTTTAAAATGGCTACTGTATGTATGCTTGGCTAAAGCCTCTATTTGCAATTTTACATCAAAAGAGGTGGCCCCTGGGGCGAATATGGCTAAGGGATAAAACCACCAAGAAGTCCTCTTTGTTTGATGTCTAAATTTAACAATATCCTAATTATGAGGAATCACTGGCAAGTGGGAGAAAACTTGCCTCAGGAGATAAGGGCATCCCCAAGTGTATCATCCAATCCAGGTATAAGGAAGTGGGGCCATCCATTATATCCACAAGCATGGTTGACCCCAAGGACTGGGACACACTCTGGTTTTGTCATCCCAGCCACACAGAATTGGTCAAGGTGATAGCTGAGTTTACCACCGCGGGAATCCATCCCATTTTCCAGCTGTTCAAATAATCATATGCCCATGGAGTCCTATTATTATGCCCAGATAATAACAAGCAAGAAGATTCTCTATACATGAGCTACTGTGGCAATTTCTCTGAAGTTTACCTCAAGTTGTCTAGTTTAGGCAAACAACAGACATTCAAAGACAATCAGAACTAGAGTTTAACACCTGCAAAGATATGTTACTGAAACATAATTTTCTCTCCAAAATCACCCTATTTCCAGAGATAGCCAAATCAAAACTAATTCATTTGAAAAACAAGTTTGGTTTTAACAAACTTGGCCAAATTATTTACATAGGCTCAGCAAGAATAGTGACTGGTCATATAGATCTTTGCTAGACAAATGTGCTTTGCTGGAACTTTTTATAAAGAATGTTGATTGAACTTTTAGTAGCTGCTCTAGGCCAAAGTCCAAGCCAAATATTTGCCATCAGATATGCCTGCAGTACCTGTAGATGTGGGTGAATTCCTCTTCTTAAGGTTCCCCAAATATCCTGAGGTTCCTACACCAGCCAGGAAGTGATATTCTTTACTCACCTGGTAAGGCTGCTGGGAAATCTATAAGCAAGGTATCAGGCCAACAGTTCAAAGAGGCTTTTCTGGCTTAAGTTTCATTTTTTAAAATGTTTATTTTTGAGAGAAATATAGGGGGGGGATGAGTAGGAGAGGGTCAGAGAGAGAGGGAGAGAGAAGATCCTTGAAGGCTCTGTACTGACAGTGCAGAGTCTGATGTGGGGCTCGAACTCACAAACTGTGAGATCATGACCTGAGCTGAAGTTGGACGCTTAAGTGACTGAGCCACCCAGGGGTCCATTGGCTTTTTGTTTCATAAAAGCAACCTTGGTTCCTTAAAGCTGTATGGTCATATCTGACATCTATGTATGTCTCTCTGAAATATGACATTCCAGTCAAAGCTTTGGTAAAATAACCAATATTTCCAATGGTGTCCTGTTACAAGGAGAACAGATTCTTTTTTTTTTTAATTTTTTAAATGTTTTTATTTATTTTTGAAGGAGAGAGAGAGATAGAGCATGAGTGGGGGAGGGGTAGAGAGAGGAGGACACACAGAATCGGAAGCAGGCTTCAGGCTCTGAGCTGTCAGCACAGAGTCCGACACAGGGCTCGAACCCACGAACCATGAGATCATGACCTGAGCTGAAGCTGGACGCTCAACTGACTGAGCCACCCAGGCACCCCTGAGAACAGATTCTTATTGAACTTATGCAAACAACTGTAATTGCCTTGAAAGAAAGGATATTCACTGAGAGCTTTTGAATCTCAAAGGGTTCAGCTAGGGAGGAAAGTTAGATGCTTCAGTTTGTTCACAAATGAATATCTTACCATGTTTCTGTAAGTCAGAGAGAATCATCTTAAGAGAAAGTTTCTTAATCTGGAAAAGCAAATATCAGAGAACAAGCAATGTTTCAAA